ATTCCTGGAACCAGGTGAGTCTGTTCCAGTTTCGGTAGTTAATTCTAATACTAATGAGTACATTTTTGATAATACAAAGTCCTTACCCAATACACTGTCCGACAGACACAGGATGAACTTGAGAAGAAGACGTACAATTGATTATAGACACTTTAGGGGCCCGTGGTTCTCGACTCCCATTTAGATCGTATGGATGTGTGCTATCGCCTATTCTCGTATATCATCGTCGAATTAAATGGTGTTATCCAATAACGGAATTAAATAAGTCGAATAACGAGAATTGACTGGAGAATACATATATTTCGTACATGAAGCGAATGAAACATAGCAAAGCAAAATGACAGGTATGGAAGATGGCTGGGAAGCCAACTCCATTTTGATTAAGCGTTACTCAATATTTATAGGCAGACAAAATAAACTACAGACATGTGACGAATCATGGGACATGAAGTGTACACACATTTACGCTCATATGAAAACAGTCAAGGCTAATAAGCGAATAATTAACAAGGTCAAAACATGACTCAAGTAGAATGAATAGAATGGAATGTCCGGAAACTAGAATAAGATATATTATGGGCTAAAACTAATGACTAACACTACAACACCTACACTTCAATTTAAGCTGTGGCGGATGTGGTGTTTGAATGAAATAATGATTCCTTTGCACTTGTTGAATACTTGATTTAGAATTGCAAATACAGTACATTCATCTGTGTTTATCGAGTACTTCTTGATCCACAAGAGTTATTTCTGGGATTCCTAGTTCATATTATACTTTAAGTACTCCTAACTATCACACTATACCATTTCGTCACTAAGAACTGGCCTTTGATACCTACACGCTTACTTCAATGGACAATAAATAAGTCAGATCAGCCCATCAAAATTTGCAACTTAACTCAAAAAATAAGATCCTTCATATACATAACACTTTTATGATTTTGTAGGTCAGTTGTCTGAATGGATGAATATTACGGAGACTAGTCTAAACTTTAGAAACACTTCTTCTCAATCGATTCGTCTTGGTAAACATGACCGGGGATCCAGGACCAAAGTAATTTTATTGTAGCAACCTATCACTAAAAGGAAAACTAAGTGAACAAGTGTTTCTAGTTCGCAAATTTTTATAATCAGGAGGGTCTGGTTCGTTAATGCTACCAACTCCTGATATTTCCAGATCACTTTAAGCAATAATATTTCCCACTACCTAATCCCCAATCAACACTACAACTATTTATTCACAATGGTTTCTGGATATCGTCATAAAGCATTATTATGACTTGGAAATCACGTGATATGATTGATAAAACTGATGAAACTATGACCAAGCTCGGCCGATAAACCGACTTATGATTATCATGAGGTATTGTTTTTCCGTATTTATCTTAATCTTGTGGCGGCAAAGAAATCCCCAAAATAAATAGCTCCATAAGTTTTCAACTTTTAATACTGACCTAATCAATTAGCTGGGTACACGTAACTAAAGGTGCACGGTCACGTATCCTCACCAGACCAAGAGTACGCACACCATATTACCCATCCCTTCCAACCGTTAACCAGCTTGGGATAAACGCTTCACGATAAATTGGTAGCCTTCCAAATATATCTTCCAACCACTTCATTTCTGACTTCTGATTTGACTGGGTTGACATACTTTGATTATAAAAGTGTTACGTGTAAAGGCTTTGTCAAACTCTGAAAACGTGTAGCATCTTTAATCTGTTGTAGATTATTTCAGTAAGTTTCTCTATCAGTTGCTCATATAGTAGACATCTTGGAACCTTGTCAGTCTAATTGGAAGTTTAGTGACACAAACATCCATGCGAACTATCAGCATAAGCAGTTGATCAAATCTCCTGCAAACTGAGAACAACATTTTCAAATTTGCCTCAATACTAACAAAGGTACATGCCATTATCTCAGACCTGAGTCGAGTTTTACTTCTCTTAGTTACAACTTACGCGCTCTCTGATAATCACATGACCAGCACTCACTGTTTATCATCTTGTAGGGATTGATATAGTTGAAAGCGTTGCATAACACCATGTCGCATATATTTGTTGCCTATAAGTATAGCTGATTTCAACACCTTATAGTCACTCGCGTTCATGCGAATCATCTTCTATATTACCACAAACTTGACACACCACCAACCAGTGTGTATGAATACAAAAACCTGGTTCGTCGTACATCAGAACATTGATTCTAGAACATGTCTCTCATGGATGCGATCACGTTCAACGAACTACCGTCAGCTATTTGTTCAAAATCCACATAATTATCTGTATTTCTATGTATTAAATGCAATTTTGATAACACTTCGTATGTATTATTAGTACTACTAAATCTTATCATGGTTAAGCAATAACAAGGTTGATAAAAGCTCCCTTTAACTAAATAAACCGAACTAAACTTAATAAACGAACTGAAACGCTAGCTAGAATTCATGCTCTACAAGACTATGCTTCTGTTCCTTCAGTTAGCCTATCAATACAAATGTAATGGAAAATCAGCATGCCAATACGAATATTAAAATTGGCTTTCTAATTACGACCAAATAAAACACTGTTATCAGCATCTCTTTGCAATATTGATTGTTCTCCTAAGAAGAGGCACACATCCCACATGCAACTTGCAACTAGTGCTGAGTATAGTGAGCCATGACGAGCCTGGTATTATACTTATGTGCTTGTCTAGTACTTCTTGATTCACTTGAGTTATTTCTGGGATTCTTAGTCCGTACTATAATTCAAATACTCCTGATTACTACAACTAAATACACTGTCTTCCAATATTATCGCACTAATAGGGTTACGTGAGTAGATCACACATCATCCACCTTCCTTATGGTGTCGGTTAAAAGATGAGGTGTGTATTCATCTGTACTTAGTTCTTCATCTTGTATTGTAGACGGACACCACGTTTTCGTTATCAGGACAATTTCTGGCTAGGTAATTGAAAGAACCATCCTAGTATCTATTGTTCTATTACTTACCCGACATTTCCAACGGCCTGATTTAGTCAGAGAAACCTCTTGATTCATTAAGCAAACATTACAAACCCGTGAGCTCTTTATATTGTGAAAAATCTTCATTTTATTTAGGTTTTTGAGTTAGCTTACTTTTAGGACATATTGTACGGAAATTATTATGGTAACCAGATTACCTTGACATTTAACTCCGGAAGTTCATATATTATCCATAACTAATCACTCGTATATTTACGTTTTTAAGCATCTTACATGTCCCCTTAGCCATATAACGTGTACTTGATCAAATGTCATTTTTCTACTAATGCTTATCAACACAAACCACTTGATGCAGTAACCTGATGTTGATCGACTCCTAGTAAGAGTGTACATGAGTAAACGAGATAGGCAATATAAAAAATTATGCATGACAACGTCACAAAGTACTCACGATCTTGATATCAGCCGCATACAACCATATTCAAGTTTTTTCGTGTAAACTGAAAAGCAAAGTGTAGTTCAAAGCCAAAAGTCACAATAAGACTGACTATGAACTAACTGTGTTGGGACTATTTTTAGGGGAATGGAGAAACCCGTGAGTTATGTTCTTCTGAATGAACTAGTTGGTCAGTACCACTCACGTATTGTTTGCTTCAATCTGACGATTAAGTTGATTGAAGAATTAGCTGAGATTCAGCACACCAGTGGATGGTCAAAACGGTTGTTGAGGCAGGACGAAGAACACAGCAGGACAATGTATACCTATTTATTAAGAAACAATGATTAACTGCAAACCCAAAATAAATAGTTCATGACCAGATAGAAAAGTGAGACCAGAAATAGGTGAGCTAAATGGAAGTCTATGAAATTAGACCGGTATTAACTTCACTTTACTTCCGTTATATATTTAATCTGACTCAGCCAACATTTCAATATTGTTCAGCTATATTGATGTTGTGGAGGTTGGACTTAATGGATTTAATGAGGTCATACAAAGTTCGACTACATCAATGGACCAACTTCATTGGTGCCTGTAATATATTGAATGATCTGCAGTTACTACCACTGACTGATCTTAGTTAAACAATTGTTTACCATCGGAAAGCATTGAATAACTGCTTCCCTGCAGCATGGGACTCCATATTGTTGGGCACCTATTACCCAGTCGTGACTAAATGCAAGACCTTCATTTTTAGATGAGAGCGTTTAACTTTTGGACTATCAAGCCGGTATCCATTAGTTCACAAGTTTAACTTTTATACCTTCTCATGGCCCATGGATACTTTTCGCCATCACTAGTGGGTTACGGGCTCATATATATCCTCCTAAAATGTAATAACCTGACTGCAGAACTATATAATACTGCTTTGAAATTTACCTAAGACGTCATTTCGAAAAAATCTCTCATTGTGTGATCTCACATTAAGAGGTATATTCCCGTCCTTTTAAAGTGTTCGTTTATGTACCAAATTGCACTGAAGTAGATATCCGTTTAGGATAAAAAATGTATAAGTACTAAGAAAATCGGTGCAAATCTCTTGTGAGCAAAACCGCCAAACTGTCGAACTCGTCGTCAGATGTGACAGTAACAAAACCTTTTATAGACTCTCCTAAAAGAATACCCTGCTCCTACTAAAATTTTGTAGGCATCAGGGTGATAGCAGTATGTGATGCTCTACTATCACTTCCACCATTCGTTACTAACCAGTTTTATCCTACAGGCTCAAAAGAAACACGAGAAGAATCATAACTTTAGATTAATTAAAACTCTCCTGCTTCCAAGATATACATGTCAAAGAACAAATAGCACGCTCATTCTTCCAAACAATGTTGGTATTTTGAAGTCTTAGTCGTATGTCCAACCCCGATGGTTGTGGTTGCACACAACAGAATAGTTCCATTATGGAATAAGACAACTGTCCAAGGCTTTCTGGGTTTCAGCGGTATTCTAAGAACGATCAGTTCGTGATGTAAACTATGAATTCCACTATCCCCATAGACTGACTACTAAATTTTGTGGCGGGTAGTACGTCATTCGAGGTCATTATGTCCAATGTAAAACCGAAGAGTGTGTCAGATATATTTTGTGATGCACATGCTTTGCATGTAGTTGACACAAGCAGAGCCAAAGACGGAGTGTGGTTAGTCAAAGTTCCAAAATATTTAGCTGAACTTTGGCATAATGCTGGCCCTGATGGTGTAGTTGGCAAAGTTGTGATCGCAAGTTCAACTAGTGCATCTCAGAATGGCAACAAAGGCCCAGGGTCACAAGTCACTCTTGTTACTGATTCAGAACTATTAAATCAAGTCGGAGAGTCCGGAAATCTGATACCAAAGGTAGGTAGTACGTTTTATACAAAACCACACGTTAAAATTGAAAGGTTGTGTGTAATTTACTGTTTCTTCATTGTACCACTAAAAATCCGTTCAAAACAGTCCCTGAAACATCAGTCTTGATTCCTTTGTTCTTCCACATCATACAATGAACTTCGAATATCGTATTTACGTCTAAATTTACGCCGAATCACCTCATTTTAGTCTAAACAGAAACCGTTCACGCACATTTCTATGCTTGTAGCTCTAAATTTCTTCTGCGGTCGCCTTTATTTCTATTGCAAAACACGTTCAGAACAGTAGTAAAAGGTTGTCATTTTCAAATTAGTACTTACATCTTTTGTTTTCGTCCAACGACGCTTTTGTAATTTATCTCATGTCGTGAAAGTCCCCTTGCGTCGCGATATCAGTGCGCCTAATGAATATGAAGGGCAAAGAACTTTTAATTCGTAAGCCTGCACTCCTTAAATCCCAACTAGTGTTAAGTGGTTGGCAACGTAAGGTTTCATGAGTCCAACAGCGTATGCGAGCTTTATAAGTATCATCCACCAGTTACGTCACCATGCACATCTGGAATGTAATGTGATAATCCGATAAACATGATAGCCCTTCAAATTTGTTTCTCATATTTCCTTGTTGAAGAGATGCATCTAACGTCCACAGTTCCTCTTCAGATGACAAACGGGACTGTACACTTGAAAGTCCAATGTTAAGTTTCGTGGATAATCACATCCATCAGCTTAGACACTAGCTGCATAATGTTTTCACACTAGTCTGATATTGCTGATAATATGTCCTGCAGAACAGCATGTAGTTTTCTGAATGTTCAACATTAACTTAAATCCCAAATGTGACATACTCATCCATCAACCCACTGCCAACACGCTTTGAAATGGACGTTGAGGACGACGTTTCTAATTGTTAAAAACTTGTTTATTAACATTATAAACAAAACACCCTTACTTTTTAATTAGTGGCACTGTAGTGTTTAGTAACCTAAACTATATTTCGAACGTGGCTGTTTCCAGCCTGCATTCCAGACACGTCCATATCAACGGAATTATACAAAAACCCTTGTTTCCGTTTCAATGCCTCCACGAAAAATTAGTGCGATAACTAATAACCTCTTAGGCTTCTCTATGTTTAGTGCCTAGGTGTTTACGGAATAAAACGAGTCCTTCTCAGTTTGCTTTTTTTGGAGGAAACGAATGCCTCTGTATATGTAACTCACTACAGCAGTTTATAAACTTGCGCTTGATGATTGGCCAGTTTTCATTTGGTTGAGCACTTATCCAGGTGAATATCCATAGATTTGTTAAGATACAAGCGAAGTTCTTTTTTACTTGCTGCGATTGAAACCTTCGTGCTTGACCCACTGATGAGTACAAACTGACTAGTAGTACGCTTGACAGTATATAATAGTTAGGAATTTATTCAAAATGATAGTATTAACAAGAAATACAAAAACATATTCACATGAATGTATATAGCGACAGAACGATTACTACATTATTAAAGCAGTTTACGGAAATACACTTACAGTATACATCGTTAGTGAAAACCCATATGTGCTCATGACTAACTTCCGAGCACATAAATATATCCATGCTACTAGAAGAGAATGCTTCCGTAAAATAATCTCGTGAGTCAGTGAGTTCTAAATTTAATTAGTCTATTCTCCCCTATGTCAATGATTAGCCCAGGTTTATTGTGTGTTGTTATTACGTAATCCGACTTAAGTGATTTTAGTGTTCTTAGGCATAACTATTCATTTCTTGTGATCGTACTTGACGGATGTGTCTATATTAGTTCCCGACATGCTAGCTCGTGGTCTACCGAAGAAAGATATATTTTCCTCACAACGCTGAGCTGCTTGCTTTGTTATAGCGTAAACACTATGCACTGATTTCTTAATCTACCTCATATAACGAATCCCAAGTCCCATGCTAACGAACGTCATCAGGAAGGTACTTTAACAAATGCGCATTATAAATTAAGGGTTCTGGTCCGCAACACCATATTATGTGAGAAACTTCATTAACTCATTTCTAACTGAATCCGTTGCCATGATGCACTAACATATATCGTTGATAGTAAACGTTTAAAATTTAATCAAGATGGTAGTGGTAGAAAATTTTTAAGAATTATGGAGCCAAAATAGAGAAGGAATAATGAAAATTCTATCGTTTTCCATACGGAAATGAAGTCTAATGTACGACATTTACGTTTCAAATTTAATGGAGCACTTTCAACACAGCTCGAGGTTAATTTATTTATACCCGTGATTATAGATTTGTTCATGTTTCTAAGTCTGTTGTAAAATAAACCTATCCATAGATTGATTAGTTTTCTCATCACTCCCAACTACACTATGTGTATTAGGTCTAGAAAGAATGTTTTTAATTCATATTAGCTGGAAGTGTCTAAAAATCAGAAAGTCCTTGATGGTTAATTGGTTGAATCTGTTGACGCGAATTGTCATCACTTCGCTTGAAAACGTCCATCTTTCGAGGTGACGACCTACAACATACATATCACAGCCTGATTTTCTATTGTGGTTAACTGTGCATCTAACATCTGAGTAAACAGGTGCGTCACACATAACAATTACTAGTTTAATAGTTATACATTTGTTGAACTTAACACTGTATACCCCCAGGTCGCCCATTTCTTTTATTTCAAAAATGTTGTCAGCAGATATGGTCTATATTAAGACCGGTCGTTGCCCTTAGGTTTAGTGATGTGTTCATGGTAGATGCTTATGGAGGGAATATTAAGCCGGCCAAATCTTAAAAAAATTTCTGTTGACACCATCTCTGAAATAAAAGAAATAAGCGAACTTTCATCATAAAGCTTGAAGTTTCCAGCTACTTCACACTATTTGGCATTTAAGAAGTGCAGGCTTACGAATTAAAAGTTCTTTCCCCTTCATAATCATTAGGCGCACTGACATCGCGACGCAAGGGGACTTTCACGACATGAGATAAACTACAAAAGCGTCGTTGGACGAAAACAAAAGATGTAAGTACTAGTTTGGAATGATAACGGTTCATTGCTCTTTTACAGGTAAAGTGTTCAGTGTTGACGAACATTACCATAAATCCGACCTTTGTGACAGTTGTTTAAAAAACATGTCAATTAAACACTTAACAGTAAAGACGCATTCTTAACAAACAACTCATTAGCTATTACCTGTAACTGTCTTTGGCAGATCATCGTAAAGGACAGCGGAACATCGCAGTTACAATCAAAGTCTATGACGGACATCTGTCTGTCATTAATCCTTTTAAACGATGATGTTATTTCCTGCCAATGAATATCCTCAACTATGTGTCGTTTTTTAATCCAGTCGACTATGTCTAAACGTTTTTTCGCAATGGGAATTAAGGGGACCACATGAGACATTTGGGGCTACAAGCATAGAATTGTGCGTGAACTCTACCTGAACGGATGTGATAAGGAGAGAATTCGGCGCACATTTCAATGAAAAGTAGATAATTGGCGGTAATAAAAATATACAGCAATGAAAGGGGGGGTGTCGTACTATTTTCATACACGAGTCGAAAAATAAGACTAGCGCTTTTTACCGCTTATTTTCCTGCTGAATATCCCCTTTGTTTCTCTTTTCAGTTGCTTAGGTCACTCCAAGCCCTTGTCATCAAAAACGTTGCAGTGTATTAATCCATGATCTTAATTTAATGAAAAGTATCTGAGTTACTACAAAACCTTTCTGTACAGTGATCAGTCTTACGGGTTTCTTTGACAGATGTACTTATGTTCTTAATAATCCCAGGCTTTATCTGAATAAATATTCCGTCCGGTTTCGATGATTGAGTGACCAATTTTTTCAAATACTAAACCAATGTTGTTTTACTTAAGGCAATTGAACTAGTTCTCTCCACTCAAATGATTGTTTCTTCGATTCATTCAGAAGCACTTGTGACTAAAACTGTGCCACGTGCTCTACATGCAGCAGATTTTTGTGTCTCCCAATTTTCAATAGAAAAATCACTTATATCAGTTGTTGTTTTTTTGTATAAATCACTCCCATTTCAATGGGGCTTGTTTTATGTTGATCGTTTGTAAATTTCTGGTATTACACATTAAGAGGATGATAACCTCTCATCTAGGTTCGGAAAGTTTCTTCTAGAAACAGCTTCGTAGCACTAGAAAATCTAATCTACTTTCAAAATCCAATTCATGCCAAAGTTAACAGAGGACCATACCTAACTTCACCTATAGTTCTCAACAGTGGAGAACAGTTTCACACCAGAATTGTTTTGTGCGAGACTGATTTGTTAAAATCAAGTAGACGGACTATTTTCACTCGCAGGTTCTTAATAAGTGATTAACATTGAATCCACAGGCCACTTAATTTTCAGATGGAGCAACACGTTAATCGGTTTCAGCAATTTTAGATTCCCCCGATTTTAGGGGTTTCTAGTTATCTATATCATTACAGAAATCTCCTTGCTAGAAAAAAACGTTTGACCTTACTGGGAATATTGTTATCATAATTGGTAAAGTTCGATAATATTTTGTCTCTATAAGAAGTACTGAATAAGAATTCTATGGTTGGTGATATTTAGAAAAGTATCTCTAACCAAACTTCTGACCTTTTACGTGTAAGTCTCTACATTTTATCTGGGTGATGCGCTTACATACTTTTGTATTCACTTTATTTGATCTTGATACCATCACATTGTAACTATTACTTACACCAACCAAGTAAATCTATGTTTGATTAGTGAATGAAGTCTTATTTATACTTTCAGGAACATCAGTTTCTGATTCAAACTTCTGCATCATCAAATAGTACACCTGTGACTGCTCGCCCAGGTCAAACTACTCCAAGTTCGACAGTTCAAAGGCGTCCTGGGACTATATCTGGACAAGAACTCATAATTTTATGTGAAGACGACCTCGGATGTGCTCAAACCAACTCGTTTCCATCTTCGACGACCAACACAACTTCAATTTCCTCTGCAGCCCCACATTCTCCATTCTCAAATAAACCGTACGCTCGTTACTCTCGGCGACTATCTTTGTTTGGTCGTGTTAATAGTAGAGCTGAATGCAGACCACCACCCAATACAAGATATATGATGCTCAAAGCTCAACAGGTAAAAATCTTTGATTTTATCTAGAGGCTTATGTAGGTTCATAGAATATTTCCTAATCTTGAATGTCCTATTTTGTACCCATTCTAGTTCTAGAAATACTCAACCCTCACTCTTGTCCTAGTTTTATATTCCTTTTATTTCCTCAAGCTCAAAGCAAAGAATCGACCGCGACATGCAGTCTGTCTCCTTTATGAACCAGTAAGAAATTACAAACCAGTTTCCAATCATGTCAACAATGTAAGTATATTTTCTTTATTTCATTCATGTTACCGTCCATTTTCTTTGCAACCTACTATTCATTGTTGAAACAAAGTATTATTATGGTATAATGATTATATATATTGAACTCGAATATTATCTCAACCTAACATAGATATAACAACGGTAGTTTTGCGATGTCAGTGTTACGTTTTCCTTCCATTATTCTCGTAAACAGGTAGTGTAGTTTAACCGACACTTAGCAAAATTTTCAGATTCATAACCGCTGACTTAATTTCTCACTGGTATCCATAATAACTTACAAATTTGTTGATTTCATGTTTGAATTCCATCCGCTACTTAGTTTATACTATGGTGCTTCCAATTTAGACTTAGGACTGATACGCATAGCTCGTGAAATATATCCACTTCAGTTTATGTGACGACTAGAAACAAGACTGATTCGTGGGGTTGTGACTTGGCCTAAATGCTAATGGCTGCTGCTGGTATGACTGGTTAATAAGTGTCACCTCACTATTTCACGTAACAAGTTGATAAACCATAGATAACAGCTTGTTTTATGTGACAAATCCACTTTTATCAGAATGTGTTTTGTGGAGATTTTTAGAAATTTTCACAGATTGAACTCATGAGTCAGTTGAAGCTAGACCACCATTGAAAACCTGGAAGCACTGGACGGCCGTTTCGTCCTAGTATGGGACTCCTCAGCAGTGCGCACCCACGACCCCGCACCACCCGGGGCTAGAACCCAGGACCTACTGGCTTCGCGCGCGAGCACTTAGCCATTAGACCACTGAGCCTTCAGGAGACACTTCTGGAGTTCTAGTGAGAAGTCGTTACCAGTGGAGTTCAACCAGGTCTGTTGTGAGATAGTAACTCACTAAAAACAATGGTGAATGTGTCGCTCAATTTCGTGGATTAGTTGAAGTTAGACATTAACACCGTTGGATGCCGGCTCAGTGGTCTAATGGCTAAGTGCTCGCGCGCGAAGCCAGTAGGTTTTGGGTTCGAGCCCCGGGTGGTGCGGGGTCGTGGATGCGCACTGCTGAGGAGTCCCATACTAGGACGAAACGGCCGTCCAGTGCTTCCAGGTTTTCAATGGTGGTCTAGCTTCAACTGACTCATGAGTTCAATCTGTGAAAATCCACTTTTACCCTGATTAATCAAAGGAATAGTCTTTTTAGACTTGTCTACTCTGTTATAGATTGCTGACCTTATACACTCTATAATTTTGTCCACCTGAAATCTCACTGGAAACTTTACATTATTAACCACCGTCTATAATATCAACAAATTTGTTTGCGTTTGTACATTAATGTATTTTAATCACTGCTAAGTTTCCGCTGACTGCTTTGCATTAAAATCATTAAATATTTGTTTTCTAGATCGAGTATGAAAATCGGAAAAAGGTTGAGGGTAAAAATCTTAGACGTGAAAAAGAAGACGTTTTGCAGGATTTGTTCAAAGCTTTCGAAAGACACCAATATTACTCTATTAAAGATTTGGTTGTACTTACTAAGCAACCATTGGTAAGCATCTACATAATTTACTCTCTATATCTTTGTTAGTTTCAGTTAGTTTTAATCATAATCCTGATCAAATTCGAAATACGTTGATACCGTAGAATCTACTAACACGTATCACGTTCGATGATTGGTCGTATATGTCTCATCGTCGTTTACTTATAACTAGTCAAAATCCTCAGTAATTATTGGTTAAAACTGTGTTTATTAAATCCATTATTTTTAGATGTTAGATTAATTCTGTCAATTTATCGTACATATAATCACTGATATGTTTTCCACCCTTAACCTTCTTTTGTTTATCTTGCGTTTACAAGCAAAAGCACCATCATAAAAATGAATTTCTATCGATAACCATGGCGGGATTCAAGAAAGGAAGAACAACAAAACAGCAATTAACAGCAGCCGAACAGCAATAGAGGAAGTCAAGGCGTAATCTGGACACACCAAAGCAAACAAGCAAGTGAAAAGAAGAATTAGAGCTGACAAACAGAAATACGCAGAAGACCTGGCAGCGACAGCGGAAGAAGTTACTAAGGGAGAGAATATGAGACAACCATATGACAAAACGAAGAAACGAGCAGGGAAATATAGTTAACCAGAGCAACCAGTCAAGGACAAAGAATGCAAACCAATCACTGAAGTTCAAAAACAGAAGAAAAGTTGGTAGAGCACTTTGAAGAACTCTTGAATAGTCCAGCCCCACTGAACCCACCGGACATCGAAGCATTACACACAAACCTTCCTATAGCTGTCAGTAACAACGATCAAAGAAATTAGGAGTGAAAAAGCAGCAGGACCTGACAACATACTAGCCGAAGCAGTGGAGTCATATCAGGCGGCCTGTTTGAATATCTGGGCCTACCTCTCTCTGCCATCAAGATATTTCAACAAGTTATCTGTTTTCTTGTTTTTCTTAACACATCATTATGCCCGTTAGTCTCATAACCTATTCAGGTGTGTTTGTGAAAAGTTTACTACATTTCGCTGTACAACTTACGAAAGAGCCTAATCAGAGACACCGTGGTTGCTGGCAATATGCTTCGAAAAGAATATACATGATTCAGATGTCGATTCCTGCTAACATATAACTGGCGACCACTCAATATTTATCGCAAGGATCGGTCAAGAAATAAGAAAAGGGAACTTGTTGAAATACTGTGCTGAGAATTCTATACTGTACCAAAAATATAATATTGAATAAACGTTTCTAACAATGTATCGATAAACTGACTGAAGGATTCAGTAGGCATACAGCTTCGAGATCAACAGGCCGGATTCCGTAAGGGTCGGTTATGCACAGACCAAATCGCAACACCAGAGGTCATCGTTAAACAACCAGTTAAATAGAACTCGTCACTGTGCATCAACTTTCTTGACTTGAGTGCTGTTAGAGGTATGAGGGTGGTTATCACTTCCCGGTTGCCTACACCGTGGAAGGGTTCTTCTGGAAGTACCTGAAAAGGAAATTGGATTAGAGGTGGTCTTAGTGACCTGAGAGCGTGACCGCAGTGCCCAAGGGACAACTGCTTGAGGTCGGTCACACACGATCTTTTTATGGGTAATTTTTGTGTTAGCTCCGTACTTGTTGAGACCTTACTGCGGGGGATGGATATCCGTGGGATAAGGCGAGGTGTGCATTTTTGGGGTCGACCTTTTCTAACCACCCCTCCTTGTGGGAAGGCAGCATCGCTGTCATGTTGATTGTCTGAAGGAAATTCCTTACTGTTATCACACCTCTGTACAGTCAGCAGTACGACTTCGCCTTCGGACCTTAGGTTTGTTGCTTTTAGTCTTACAGCTCTTCAACCGACCTGTCTGACATGGTAGGGCCTTGAGTAACGGTTGTTCCAGTCAGTATAGCTCGGTTGCTTCATCACGATAGGCAAGCCCGACCACCACGCCAAGGTAGCACCAACAGTCGGTGTCCATCTTGTTGTGTTAATGAGGTATGGCAACTTGGACCGATGCATATGTGTGCCTGGTCCTACGTTGTAGCTGACTGACTGACTTCCTTGACTGTGCGAAGGAGTTCGACAGTATGGATAGGAGAAACTTATGGAACCTTCTTCGACACAGGTGTAACTGAGAAGATCGTCAAAATCATCTGAAATTCATTCTCTTCTGGTGGTTGACTGAACTATAAAGATCACATCTGAGGGTAAGCACGGAATATAATGAACAGCTTGCATGAAACTAGACGATTCGGACTTCTCAGATGACCTAGCCCTTCTATTCCATACACTCCAACAGATGCAGGTCAAGGCAACCAATGTAGCATATGCCTCTGCATCAGTAAATCTCAACGTACACAAGGGAAGAAGCAAGATTAACGTTAGATCCACATCTGATTGACGCAATGAAAATTGGAACATAAAGTAAGACTAACTCCACAACATAACGCCTTTGGAGTAGATGCAAGGTATTTAATTTGTTTTGAAATCTAGACCTGTCGTTCATGTACCCTCACATTAGCAAATATTAATCTGGAAATATTGACGTAACCAATTAATTTGTTTCGTTAGTTTTCTATAAACTAAAATATTTAGTTTCAGTTTTACATGTGTATGATATATCCTTTTTTTATTTTCAGGCCTATCTTACAGAGATACTAAAGGAAATTGCTATCTTCAACACTCACATTCCACACAAAAATATGTGGGAGCTGAAACCTGAATACAGACATTACACACAGCCTGAGAGTAAGACTGAATCTAACATGGAATAAACCATGTAAACGTACACCAATTTGTAAATTAATAAAGGCGTTCCTTCCTGTAATTGTTTTTACCTTAACTCATTATTTAATTTGCATAACTCCCAAGTTTCAAGCATAATTGTTTCCACTGTTTAAATAATGCTTTAACTAACTGTTTATATCCATCTGCCTCCAAAATTTAATTTGAAAAGTTCTCGATTGCTTTATGTTTAAATCTGCCACCACAAAAGGTTGAGAATGTGTATAAGCTAACTTTCAGATGGCAGGTCGGGTTCCTTACTTCAATAACGTTCTCATTAACCACTAGACGGTACAACCCAAAGAAGTATTGCAACCAAATTTTGTATGAACTCAAAGCAAGAGTGCTCTCCGTTTGTTGGACAAAACTGTGTTCCGTGAACATATCTTAGAAAAAGGTTTTGTCGTTCTCAATGCATTATACAAAACATCCAATAAAAAGCATGAAACCACCAACGCATTGCTGACAACCAGGAGTCAAATGAGTGTTCTTGTCCATCATCACCAGCCTTCCCTTAGGATTACACTCGATGACGCTCTAGAAGCAATTTGTGGACGTACTGTGGCACCACAGAACCTAGAAATGCCATAATCTGTGTTAGTGTATACCATAATACAACGTATAAGTTTGTCACATACACAATCAGACGCTGATCAGGATTATTGTGGCATCTGCTTCGAACTAAATTGTGAAGTACATCTACCATAAAGACGAAACTCTGCTATCATTTACCATCAGTGAACCATTAGGAATATGGTAAAAGAAGTTATGGGATTGCTGTGATGATAAAGTCCATCTCTTTAGCAAACTACAGAACAACACACACCGCCTTCGGTTACCTTTAGTACCGATACGAAGTTAGTTTCTCTGAAAGGTTAAGTAAATACATCTTATGGCTTTTTAGCAGCTGCTATACCGAACAATGGTGGTAGTCAGAGTGAGACTATAACTAATTAACAAACCAATCGAATTTAAGATTGTGAGTTGTGGACATTGGCGCGGAACCCATCCATATCTGTTTGGCAGAATAGCATTTTGGCACCATGGCTGGTGTCAGTTCGTTATGTGAACCGTAACCCTATTACCGAACCTTACTCCCAATTCTGATTTTGCACTCATTTATAACCCTCTCTTACCTTGGTAATCTTGCAAAGGTTACTTGGGCATCGCTCGAAGGTTGTTCATGAATAACAATCTCGCCACACTCAATACCGGCACAGTCGATCCCTTGAGTTCACCCGTAGGTATCAAACGTTTCAATGACTCCAAATGCCAGATTGTTCGAAGCCGGAGTTAACAGCGGTCTTACCGCAGTCGCTCTGTGTATTTTACGTAAGCTGTACGACTTGATAGCTGATGATATTAGTGGAGTTAGTGTTGGCTGTTTTTACATCTTGTCTATATCCTTTAAAGGCTTTTCGCCGTACAACTGTGTTATATTTTTCATGAAAATATCTTGTTTTCTATACACATTTACTGGTCCCTGATTGTATTAAGTAATTCTTTACATTTAAAAGCGTTTTTCTGTGAAAAAATTTTATTTTTGGTAATTACAATTTATCGTCTGTTGGGTAAAGGAGATCTTGTACAGTTACAATAGTTATGATTAGTAGCATTTTTCTGTAAAGATGCTCAATACATAGTAATTTCATTGGAGTATAGCCTGTACCTTAACGTGCTGGCACAGTTCACTCGAGTAATTTATAGGAAAATCGGATAGATGCATAACTTTAACAGAATAAAGAAGGCGTAACATCTACAAAAGGTAACATAAGGTGTCCCGATTTGATGTGTTTATCTTTAATGAGAAAAACAATTTTCCAGCTTTGGGTTTCATTTTTGAACAAATCATAAATAAGAAAAAACAATATCACATTTTGATTCCTGATGTATTTTGTCGCATAAATTATGCACTGGTTACTGAATATTTCTCATTCATGTATTGCACTTTACCGGGAATTCCGGTTTATTCGATTACCTAGAAGTGTGTGTACATAAACGCAGCAAAGTTGTAATGCAAGAAGTAGGTAAGCCAATGGTTTTCTCGCACACAGCGATAAAATAAAAATGATATATATTGTTGATTGTCATCTGCAGTCATTTTTGGCGCTTTACAATTCGAAAGGAGTAGGTAATGAGCAAATATTAGCGCCTCCCAAGGCGAACTGATGCTCCGAACGAACTCCGAGAACTCCCAGCACTAAGTGGATTCCCATGGTTGTCTAGAAGACCAGTTGCGGTAGCTGGTCGTGCAGGTGGTATTGAAGTGCTCAAAAGGCTTCCTGTCGTTGTGGTATTGGTGGAGGATTGATCTAAATCTTGATCTTCTGTTTCCTGCTGCGAGTTGCTAGTAGTCCCGGGAACAGAGTAACTGACTAACGCACCACTAGCTGAACCTGAAACACAATTCGCTTTCCGCATGGCAATTTCCAGAAGTTCTGCATCACTTAAATTTCGGCTTGCGACTGAAAGTAGTGAGAGCATTTCCTCATGAATACGTGATTCTGGGAATTCTACCTGGATAAATGTGTAAAAACGAAAGCATCTGTGTAAATAAAAGCAAACTATACATGAATATAATTAAGATACACTACTTATTACGAAAAGTTAATAAATATGCAGTAAGAGATGGTTATTTAATAAACAGGTGTTAAAGTCTGTGGAATTTGGTATTTCTGACTGATTAGAGAAGTCTCGCCAAGTATAAATTACATATGCCAATTTCAACAACTAGTTCCTTTCACACCCTTTAAAGACGCTACATTTTTATGTTAAAATTCGTGCCAAAATCACTAGCGCTTGTGAAGCGCAGATTACGGGACTTGCTGTACTAATAATCTGATATATATAATGAACTAGATCGATTGACCTTTCCATCGTATTTACTGAAATAATTTTGTAAGTAAAGGACTGCTCGGTATTTAAGAATTTTCATTATGGATGCACAGAAACGATTTATTACCGCCAAGTTTGTATTTTACCAGTAATACTTAATAAAACACCATATAAAATACCAACTGCCTGGAGGTCAGTCAGCTACAACGTACGACCAGGCACATATATGCATCGGTCCAAGTTGCCATACCTCATGGTGGTAATATATAAAAGAAAGATTGCATATAAGGATATAATGTACAGAGGAAAGAATTAGTTCGTACAAAGAAAGATATGAAGTAATTTTAATCTCTTAGTTTAAGGGAAGACAGAGAGTGTATAGACCGATGCCACTGTGATAGATTCTGAGCCATGTCACGCAGTCTCCAAACAATGGTTACAATAGTCATTCGGACCCCACCCAAGTAGCCTGCATCTACCAACATGGCTCAGACCGGAAGTTAGTGTCTTCAAGCACTGATGCCACGTTTTGGTTTGGCCGCCCCTAACTTTCTTCCAACCATCTCCAACACCGGTTAGCATGCCCCCCTGAATGCCCTGGTACGGCCGAGAGTGAGGAGAGTCCGCTCTCCCTCTCGAAATACTCTCACACGGCCACGCGTATACAGCCTCTGCCAGGGAAGTCCTACTCATTGCCTTCTCGTGGCGGGGGTGTTGTTTACGAAAATGAGAGGACGAAAAGCGAATGTCCGGTGCTTTAACCGGATTCCAAATCAATGGTGCACATGGGCTCCAGTATCCTGCGGGAACAAATGGCGTATAAACCAATCGTTGGTCACCGGCTACCATGGGACTGCATCTCCTTACGATGCTCCACTGCCTTGTGGGTTAGACCTTTAGGTCAAAGGCTCGGGGTGTGGCCCCCTAAGAAAACCACCTGCTTCGGTTTGGGCACCCGGGCAGTATCACAGCCCACACACAAATTGATGAACTCTTTATGCCTATGGAAATTACATTTCTCGCTTTGAAAAACAAACAACTGATTCAGATTATTATCATTACAATTATTGTCATTATTAATACTAACATTATTATTACTACTATTATTGTCATTATTGTTATTATTATCATTATTATTATTATTTTCCACATTATTCACCCTCTTTTATACTTATACAGCGGCTCGTCTTTGGTGGAAATCCGACTGTATCTAAACGTTCTCGAGTCACTGTCCGGTTGAAAATTGTATGTTACCACCGAATACGAGGACTGAAGCAGTTTTTCTGAAACCACGTGCACCATTCAAACTGGCTGCCTTCAACGTTCGCACATTTATGCAGGTCGGACAACAGATAGGGCTGGCTATGTCTTTGGAAAGTCTTAATATTGATGTTTGTTGTCTATCCGAGACCCGTATTCAAGACTCTGGCGAAGTACTACAAATCCGCTCTCCATCTGTCGCTTCGAAAAGCTTGTTTTACGTGCGCTTATCCGGGGACCCTGTGGCATCTTCGTCTGGTCTTGCTGGCGTTGGTGTCGCACTAAGCGCTAGAGCTGAGGCAGCACTAGTCGATTGGATCCCCATTAACAGTCGGTTATGTGCTGTTAGATTAGAAAGTTCCATCAAAGTGAGAAGAAATCGGCGTGAGAAACGATGTCTTTTCGTCATCTCCGCCTATGCCCCGACAGATTGCAGCCCGGATGCAATCAAGGATGAGTTTTACCACCAGTTATCAGTTCTTCTCCAGAAAGTGCGTTCGACAGATATTGTAGTACTAGCCGGAGACTTGAATGCTCAGGTCGAGCGTCTAGGCACAGAAGAGAGTCGTTTAGGTGGCCGATGGGGACTCGTTGGTCGCAGGTCAGATAACGGGGACCGTCTACTGCAACTGTACACAGACCACAACCTGTTTCTGACTAGCACTAACTTTCGGCACAGTCATCGCCGATGTGCCACCTGGCGTCCTCCCTCTGCATCTCAAGCCTGGACTCAGATTGATCACATCGCGATCAGCTACCGCTGGCGTGGTTGTGTAAAAGACTGCCGCTCCTTTTGGAGTACCTATCTGGACTCTGACCATGCCTTGGTCTGCGCCAATCTTGCCTTACTTTTCGGTGGCCAACGAAGTGACCACCACCAAAAGATTGATGTTAGCAAGCTGGTTGCAACTTCTGTTGCAAGTAAGTATCGAACTGAGCTAGCCTC